GAAGTGTTAGACGTGTTACACAAGGCAACAGTGGGAAAACCAATGTTTCTTTTGCTCAGTGATGGGTGCACAAATTACACATATTTTATGAGGCTTTATGCATGGTTTTTATGCTAGTTTGTGTGAGTTTTACCCCAATTCAGCTTAATTTCAGGAAATCTTCAAGGGAAACCAATTCAGGAGAAAGAAAGCATAAAACAAGGAAAAAGGAGCTAAATTGAAGGTAATTCAGCCCAGCTGGAACAAAAACCCAGCTGAGGGGTCATTCGGCCCATGAAGATGCTGCACTCTTTGGGAGAGCCCAAAGAGAGAGCTCAGCCGCAGCCTTCCAAGGGAGCCTATTCGGCCCAGCAAGAAGGAGGCCCATTGGCAGCCCATTAGCAGCCCAAGAGAAGCTAGGGGCGGCAACTTCTAGAAAGTTCAAGAGAAGTTAGGGGCAGCAACTTCTAGAAGGTTCAAGAGAGGCTAGGGGTGGCAACTTCTAGAATTCTTGGAGAGCTGAAGGAAAAACTATTTAAGGAGGTTTCTTGGAGGAAAAAAGGGGTTCAAACACTTTGAGACTTAAGCCCTTTGGGGAGATTCAAACCTTGAGTTTGAATTCTTGGAGGGAGAAGAGAGAGATATGTGCAAGAGAGGAGAAGAAAGGAGATTCAAGCAACTTCAAGAGAAGAAGAAGCTGAATTCGAAAGGAGAAGAAGCCATTGGAGATCTAGGTTGTTTCTTCCTTGATTTCTGCACATTTGGTAATCGAATTCAGGTAGGAATTATGTGTAATTTCTCCATTAATTTTTCTTTCTTGCTGTAATTGAAGCATGAATTCTGTAATTTCAGATCTGTAATTAGTTTTTGAGGTTCATTTGAATAGATTAGATGCAATCTTGATGTTTCTTGATTAGAATTTTATTTGTAGAACTGTTAGCCGAATTGATCTTGATCTTTGTAATGTCTGAATTGCTTAAGAAAGAATTCCGACACTCTTAATTATATTTGGCTGAACTGTTCTTTATTCTTGGAAGTTCTAGAGTGCTTGAGAAAGACTCTAGATTTTCGGATCTGCTAATCAAGAACCGAATTGAGTGTGAGTTTAGAGATAACTTGCATAATTCGGTTGGTGTTCATTCAGCTGAAATGATGCCCTAGATTTGCTAGATCTTAATGCATGCATGAGGATTGGATCCTTGATAGAGATATAAGGACCATCAGTCATGCATAGATTGAACATGCACTTGAGAGAGGCTGTTCATTTCCTTGGGGTTCACCAAACCAAGGCTGAATCTTAATCTAGTCGAGTAACCTAGGAAACTAATTGTTGAATCAATTATATGCATATTTAGCTTGTCTTCTCAACTTGCATGCAAGGTGTTTGATCCAATTTTTTAGTTAGGAATTCAGTTTTAGGTTGGATATACATTTCGGATTCTCAGATAATATTAGGCCGATATACTACTAGTAGTTGCTGCATAAGTCCTCGTGGGAAACGATACTCTATTCATCACTCTATTACTTGTGCCGCTAGTGCACTTGCTAGTGTAGCAAATACGCATCAAGTTTTTGGCGCCGTTGCTGGGGACTTATTGTAGGAATATTAGGAACTATTAGCCACTGTTAATCTGATTTCTAACTCTGTGCATTGTAGTTCAGATTTGTGTGCATTAACCTCTGTTGTTGATTTAGGTAGTTTTCTTTGTTATAGCCGATCGTCTCTAACATAGGTTGTTCTAGTTCAGTAGTGTAGCTGATCTTTAGTTCTATACATTACAGTTCAGATCTGCACACACTAACCTACATTACTGATTTAGGTTATCTCTTTTTTCTTGCCGAATGCTTTTAATTCTGTACTAGGTAATCTGATTTTTTTTTCTGTATATTAGGTTCAGATTTGTAGATAGAGTAACTTTCCTTGCTGATAGAAGTAGTTTTCATGCTTATTGTTAATTGCATTTATCTTAGTTTGTTGTTCTAGTTTCAGTAGTGTAGCTAGTTTTAGATTTCTTTCTCCTTGCTGAATGCATCTAGCTTAGGTTATTGTTCTTGTTTCTGTATAATGTAGCTTCTTGATTTTATAAGTTATTTTACTGATGTGGTAGATTTCAGATCTGTGTTTTGTAGGAAGAACTCTATAGCTTGCTGTTATAGATTTCATTTCTGATTTGGTAGATTTCTGACTTGAGAGATTTCTGATCTGTAGTAGGATTCAGATCTGTATATAGTAACCTTCAGTACTAATATCAGTAGTTTTCTTTCCTGTTGCTGATTTGCTTAGTTTTTTGTTGTTGTTCTAGTCTTGGTAGTGTAGCTGAATTTTTGTTCTGTGTACTCTATAAAAATAGTGTAGTTCAAATCTGTACACATTAACCTTCATTGCTGAAATCAGAAATCAGATCTGTGCACGCACAAAAATAGTTGTTCTTGTTGCGGTAGAGTGTAGTTTCTTGAGTCTATAGGTCATTTCTCTGATTTGGCAAAATTCTGTAGGCTTTTTTTTTTTTTTCTTTTGGTGAGTGCATTTTATGATCCATCTCACACTGGTCACAGGCTTGAGGTAGATAACAATACTCATATTCCAAGTTGTTAGGTTTACTATTCAGCTCGGAATAGCGGAGTCAATTCTTTTGCAGTTGTTGAACCTCATGCATTATGTTCAGATGTGACTAGCTCGACTGATCATTAATAATGCAATCAAGTGCTTCATACATATGAAGGTAGTTAGGGCTGGTCATGACGAAAGTCATATTCAGCTCCCTTAACCTCATGCATTGTGCTAAGTTGGATCGTTCACAAGAATAAAAATTGACACATACAGTGGTCTCCCTCCACTCATTGTATTCCCTCTTTGATTTCACCTAATAAACAACAATGATCTTAAGGGGATTTCCAGTTTATTTGTCTTATCAATGCATGTATATAAGTGTTGGGATG